ACGACTTCCTTGCGCTTCTGTAGTTCACCTTCAGGGCACTGTACGAAACGCGTTTGTGCGCCGGTGGCATCATAATCGCGTGCTCGTGTAAAACTACGACCCAATTTGGTTACCTTGCCCGAAGCTTTATCGATTGTTATAACATCGCCTGCTTGAATTTTCTCCTTCATAAAACATTCGATAATCTTGTTGCCCAAATCGTAGTTTGTTTCCATTTCGGTGGTTTTCAAAGTAACCTATAATAGGAAAAATGTAAACCAACCTAACGAGCATCATAGCATACACAAACATACCTTTCCAATCTTTTGACCCGTGCCAGTTGCTGGCCGATCAATTTGGATTTCAACTACCTCACCCTCAATAATCTCAGTCTCCTCTTTAATGCGCACACCAATGCTCTTGCGCAGCGCCTGCGAAAGTGCTTCTGTTTTGCTCATCTCCAGCGAGTATATTTCCGAACCAGACATGCTGGTGAATGGTGTCTCTGTTCCAAGCGCTTGTGCCATACCTACTGCAATTGCTGTCTTACCAGTACTTGGCTCACCAGCGAGCAATATGCAACGTCCAGCGATTTTACCTTCACGCACCATTTGCACCACAACACCGGCAGCGCGGCGAGCATCCTTCTGACCCACCATGCCTTGTGATACAGCACGCGCTTCCAGCACATCGTCCAAGCCCAGACCGCGTATATGCGAGTGCGCGCCAATGCGTTCAATACGTGTTATATCACGCACTTCAATCTTATCGCCATCTGCCATTTCTCACAAATATTTTTCCAGCGAGCGATTTATTTTAAAAATGTGCCAGAAAATTTCTACAAATCGGAATTGTTTTTTCGTTGCTAAGAAATTCTGCCGGCCTCCTGCAATTTCGTTTGTTTAACGTGTTTTTTTTCTGTTTAGTTGACATTCGTACCGCATGGTTGTATTTTTCGTTTGGTGGTACCACATTTCACCATTTTCAGCAAAAATTTTAGTTAGCAAAAATTATCCAACACCAAAACATATGATCACAAAACATATGGTTGCAATTTTTGTAAACAAACAAAATTGCATTTTCCGAGTTTTGGTATTTATATGCTTTTTGGCTGCCTGCTATGTGACTTTATGATAGCGTCAACTAGTTTTTACTTCTAGAAATGTTCCTGGCGAACATTGAACGTTCACTTTCCTTTTTTCTTCTATGGAGGCAACATGAATTTCAGTTTGTTTACAAACAAAACATAAACAAAGTCAGCTGGTGTGTCTTCTTCTTCCGGTTTTTGCAAGTAATGGCTAATTTCCTGTTCGTTTACTTTTTTTTTTGCTTTTTCATCTCTTTGGGAGAGAATTTTCGCTTACTCTCTTGATTTTGATTGTTGGCTGGTGTTGGCTAATTTTGTTATCGAACGCAACTTTTAATATCTAAACTATAATTGATGGAAATGTCTTATTTGCGCAACTAAGTTTCAATTCGTCTTTTAACTGTGATTGCGCATATTTGACATTTCCATCAATTATAGTTTAGAAATAAAAGAAACTGATCCTTTGGCTTGATGCATTTCTGAACGCGCCCGTATCTTACTCTCTTAAAGAGAGAAAGTTACTAAGTTTTGCGCGAACAGCTCTTATGGCCAGTTTTTCAGTGCCAGTTTAAACTTAGATTGAGTAAACTGAGTTTAAATTGAACAGCTGGCTGACATTTGATTGGCTGATCTTAGTTCAAACCAGCCAGATCAGGCGTTTAAACTTAGTTTAAACCACGGCCGTGCACTGTAAAACTGGCCCTTAAAGTAACGCAAAGAGTTTAAAACTGATTTATAAATAGTAAAATGTTTACAGCAGAATATCAAAATGGTGCAACAACTATTCACTTGCAAGCTTTTACTAGTTTTGTGTTCAATAACTTTTTCTGCTAGTTTTCTCTTCTCAATTTTACGCTTTATTTTGCTTTTACGCTCTCGCTGCAATATTTTACTGGAGAAGTTACTATACAAACCTATTGGCCCGTATTCATAGAGAAGTTGGAAAAAGGTTTTCACGATTAAAATTATGTTTTATTGTAATCACCATTTTAACTCTTTCATAGTCAACTTAAAATGCATTTTATGGCAAAAACAGGTTCTAAGTTTTGTTTTGTTATTGAAGTAGTAAACGCAATAGCACCCAGGTTCGGTCCCCACTCCGAGCGATTCCAAACATTTTTTTTTAATTTTATATTTTTATTTTAACATAAACAATACTTTATTTTATTTTATTACATTTTGTTTTATTATATTTTTTTTTGTTAATGGTATTTCATATAATTATTTCGTTATTAATCAAATTTTTTGGAGTTTAGTTATAATTTAAAAGGCCACAACAACTATAATTAAATAACAAAAATTTAAATAATATTTAAAAGAACAAAAAATATGTAAACAAATATTCCCTGGCAGTGGGATTCGAATCCACGACTTCCCGGATTGCTAAATCCGCAATCCAGCAGCGGACAAAGGGTGAACTAATTAAAGTACTCATATTTCTATATATTGGTGGGTAAATTTTTTCTCTTCATATGGATAGCACTGTTCTCTCTCTTCTTAACAAAAAGCTGTTTCTAAGATGTCTATGATTAACAAAACTTAAAAATCTATTCTAAACTTAAAACTGTATTCTAACAAGAATGAGTTTTAACTTGCGACTATGACTATGGGCCATTGTCTTATGTAAACTCGGCGTAACCATACCGATTTGGAGGTGAAATAAGTTAACCGTGAACAGTCGCTTTGATTGTGAACTTTAGGCAAATAAAAACAAGAAAACACTTCTTTTTTTGTTTTGATGTTTACTTTCCACTGTTTTTTCTTGCTTCAGTGAAAAGTTGTCCAAATAAGAAAGTGCATTCCGCTATTCAAAAACTTGGAATATTCACAATCCTGTTTTCATTGCTGATATACTGAATTAAAGTTTATGTGCGCAAGATGGATATCCACGCCTGGTTGCCGGTGATATTTTGCAGTCTTTCCATACCACTATCCCTTTTTATGTGGCTGGGTAATTTGGCCTTTTCGAAATTTTGGCACTCCAATGAATTCGAAGGTAAATTAATACATGCTCATAAATCATTTTCGATAAGCGGACTTACAGCACCTTTGTTCTGTGCAGAGCCCCCTGTGATACCGCCGACAAGATGGCTATTTTCAACTTTGGCGCCCCTGGCGCTTATGATGATTGCGCTACGCAGGAAATCGGTTAACAAATCGGGTGCTGTATTGGGCATACTCTTCGCATTCATCTTATCCATAGCAAATCATGCATTCTTCGCAAGCTTGGCGGCATTCTTTTTCAGTTCTTCGCGTGCGACCAAGTTCCGCGCACATTTAAAACGGAAATTTGAAAAGGATTTTAAAGAGGGTGCGTAAGAAAGGGAGAAAAATGCTTTTAATTACTCTAATCTAATTAGCAATTAACTCATAGGCGAAGGCCAACGCAACTGGGTACAGGTGTTATGCAATGGCGGAATGGCTACACAGCTGGCTATATTATATCTCATAGATTGCGGCAGTTGTGAGCGTCCCATCGACTTTACAAAGGAGTATCGCTCCAGCTGGTTAGGCGTAGCAGTTATGAGTAAGTGATTTTATCGCCAAAGTGCTTATCAGCCACACCTATTAACGTCACACACTTCTGCAGGCGCTTTCGCATGCTGCAATGGCGATACATGGGCAAGTGAACTGGGCAGTGTATTATCTAAAAGCGAACCATTTCTCATTACCACACGTCGCCGTGTACCGCGGGGCACCAACGGCGGCGTTTCGTTACAAGGACTTGTCGCTAGTGTCTTGGGTGGTGTGCTAGTAGGGTTCGTCTACTATTTAACTGTACGCTACACTGTTGACGCACATGCATTACTTACTAGTCCGCCACAGTGGCCTCTTGTCATATTCGGTGGCATTGGTGGATTGTTTGGCTCGCTGGTGGATTCAATACTTGGCGCTACAATGCAGTACTCGGGCATCGATAAGGAAGGCAAAATTGTTGAGTGTCCCGGTGCGGGCGTGCGTCAAATCAGCGGTTTGCGCATACTAGACAATCATAGTGTAAACTTAATTTCGAGCATTGTAACAGGTGTTACCATGCCCTTGATTGCTTTAAAGTTTTGGCCTGTTTGAGGTGGTTGAAAGGAAATATTATCAAGATCAACCCGAACGAAGCTGATATTCGGCAAAAATGTTTATCGAGATTTTTAATGAATTATAATTAACTTTAATGTATTGTACGGTGCTAATATTTTGTTGTTTTAAATCCTTTTTTAGAGTTTTTTGCAAAGCGTTCTAATTCTACTTCATACATATGTATGTAGATGTTTGCTGAACATGTCTACCTACATAAATCGCCTACTGACGAAAGATAATAATTACTAATTATTTATTAAAAACGTATTCTGACTTTATTAAAAACGAAAACACCGAACTGATTTATAGCGCTTACCGGCTACTCAAAGTAAAAATGTTATTCCAATTCAACAAAAAAAAAAAAAAAAATGTGATGCGTCTCGAAGGGATAACTTAAAAGAACTGGATTATATTTAATTAAAGCATTATTGCAGCTATTTGTATTATAACACGCATGTATGTAAGTAAATGTGATTAATAAACATTTGTACGTGCTTAATGAAATGAATATGTGGCCTCTGTTAAAACTCGGAAAGGTGTTTAGTGTTCTTTTCTTACTCAGATATAGGAGAGGTTCCAAAAGGCTGAGCTGTCATCTCTACTCCATTTCCGTAAGCAGGAAAGATGTATTGTCAATGTTGTTGTAACATCATACAAGTTGCCCAAAGGGTTTTGTGAATGCGGCTGGGGTGAAAGTCCTTGACCAGATATAAAACTGAGTCGATCCATTTCATTGATGGGATTAGCCTCAAGGCGCAAAAGCCCATGTTTAAGAAGAACACGCGTCTAACGAAACAACTCAACCTCTGAGTCTACCAGAGTCAGAGATTGAACTCTGACTACGACAGTCAAGAGTGACGTTGTGGATTATCTATATGTTAATGTCTTTTTCAGATCTGTAGACCGTTAGGTCCTGTCAAACTAGTCCCTAAAATGCTTATCAGTTCGGGGTAACGGTCAGGTCTCTGTCCAAAGCATCGATATATAACGTTCAGGTGCCCAATTCCTCCGGAAACCAAATAATCTGGGCGCCAGCTACTACGCGTGAGCATCCTGTCCGCAACAGACAATTCCGAGAGCAACAGACAATTCCGAGAGCAACACATCAAGATAATCCCAACAAATTTGCCGGATGAACCACTGACAAGCAAGGGGTCCAGATTACTATACCAGATGCTGAAAATATTAGGACCTGTGGGAGTCAAGTACATGACCGCCGCTTTTAACTTGTTACTGTCTACCCTGATTATCTCCGAGATCTAGAAAATGTGTAGGATCATTCCCCTTCTCAAGCCAGCGAAGAAGTGGACGTAGGAGACTGATACAGACCCATCTGCATCCTATCCCCAGTGGCAAACACCATGGAAGCACTACTCTTCCCCAGCCTGACGAAGCATCTGAAGCTAGCCGAACACCAGCATGGATGCAGGACAGTGCATAGCACGACCACAGATTTGAACGCCATCACCACACAGACTAGCGAATCTGAACCAACGTCGCCCCTGAGATAGGACGGCCCTAGTCGCAGTTGACCTGTCGAAGGCAAGCCGCGTAGGATTAAACAGGGGGTCCCTCAAGGCGGCGTACTCTCCCCGACACTGTTCAATCTCTACATAGCAAAACTCCCTCCGCAGCCAGCGGTAGTCAATTTGGTAAGCTACGCTGATGATTGCACAATAATGGCGATGGGCCAAAACATCGAAAGCCTTTGCGATCAAATACTCTACCTATCTCACCGATCTTTAGAATTTCTTCACTGCAAGGAGCCTCAAAATCTCCGCCGAAAAACCTACCTTCCCAACCTGGACCAAGGAGATCAGGCTTGAACTGGACGTCTTCGTCGATGGCGCGAAAATACCGACGACTTATCACCACGAAATTCTGGGAGTGACGTTCGATAGCTTTTTCTCCTTTTCCGCAAACGCCTTAGCCACTTGAAACAAACTACGGGCCAGGAGCAAAGTCCACAAGTCGGCAGCACCTGGTGAGCCGATAAAGAAAGCCCCGCTCGCAACTTACAACGCAATCGACCTGTCAGTGGCAAACTACACAGCGCCAGTGAGGAAAGCGGGGACGAATAACACGCAGTGGAGAAATCTGCAAACATGCCACAACGCAGCTCTACGTACGACTACAGGCTGCCATCTCATGTCGTTCGAGGATCACCTCCTCGAAGAAAGCTAGATGGTGGCGATTAAAGACCATAACACCATGTTGTTATGGCCATACGTAGACTATCCGTTTGACACAGCCAGATACAGAGCGGCGCTCAACAGCCTAGAAAGCGATGCGACCAGAACGAGCCTCAGCACGCGCAAACACAACATTGTCCTAGGCGGTCGACCGCTGCCCAAAAATATAGAGGAAACCGAACTGCCGAGAGAAACCAGATGCACCCTAGTACAACTCTGTTCTGGGTGCGGCCACCGTCTTAACAGCTACCTCTCTCGGCTGAACACAGAAGTGGAAAACACCTGCCCCGCATGTGGGCAAGTTCTCACAACACCCAGCATCTCTTCACATACGCCTCCAACCTTATGATCCCGGCACTAGAGGCGCTCTGGACCGCGCCAATCAACACCGCCCGCTTTCTCCGCCTCATTCATGCAGAGCCGGATGATGAAGATGATGATTCATGACAGAACCTGGGGGGTTGAGCACTGCTGCTCCAACAACAACAACAAGTATTCCATAGGATATGTCATCATCGGTCATTAGAAAATTGAGTTTTACACTACACTATTTAACCCAGAGAGTTGTCACCCGGGGAGTACAATTACATTCCTTAGAACAGTGAAAAGAGCGGAGTGATGTGACTCATGCAACTACTTAGAACTCAGGCCGAAAGAGTCAGCCGGTTTTGTTGAATTAGAGCCAGTTTTGGGGGTGTAGAAGGTTTAAACTATCTTCTATGTGCCAATGGATTAGGTTCCACAGGCCTATTTTTCCAAAGAAGGGTAGCCTGTGACTTATCGACTCTGATGTAGTTATACATATTTTGCAACTGTCGTCCATTTCAGTAGGAAAGGATGCTTATCAGTGATGAGGACGGTAATTTTAGTGATATCTGGTTGGGGTTGTCCACAGAAAGAAGTATGAACTCCTCAAGTCTGTGCATGCAAATTAGTTAGAGTGGTCCCCGCAATCAAACCAGTAGAATCTTTGGCTTCCATTGCTGCAGGTCATTAAACGGTAAAAAAGACGTACCACACATTACATTGGACAAACCCCAGACACAGGTCTTGCGGGTAGGTCAACTTGACTCATACCAAAGCGTCAGAAGTTTTATTCGGCAATGTTTTTGGATCATCTACCTATCGGTGGGATGGTAAGAAATCACTTGCGATTCTCATTTTCGCGACTTAAATTTTTTTAGTTATTGAAACTCACACATTAACATTCCAATTTTTATTCAATTCAATAAATATGTAAGCACTTATTCCTAAAACTTTTAACTATGTAAGTAATTCTTAATTCTTTCGATGACTGCTGTGAGAAATCTTTCCCGCGTAGGTACGCTTCGGTAGATCCAAATTATCATTATATACTGTCGAGATCGAATTTTGTATTGGCTCTTCCTCCTGCTCGTACAAGGAACTGCCGCCGGCCGACATTGATGGTTTCGCTACGCCAATCGAATATTTGAACATCAAATCTGCCAAAGGTGTTGAGATGATCTGTGAGGCAGACGCAACCGTCTTGAAGGTGATGCGACGCTTGCGCATATGCACAGTGCTATTTTGATGCACATAACTGTACTTGTTTGGTGCAGCGAAATATTCTTCCTTGATTTGTGGTTTGTAGCTAGGCATAGCAGCTCCATAGCCGCTTGACACAACGTGTGGCTTAAACTGCTGCGTTGTTGTTGTGGTTGCGCTTGAGGGCTGCGGCAACTGTACACCATAACCGCCCGTTAAGTGTAACGGTGCTGCGGTAGTGCTGGTGGTGGTTGTTGTTTTTGTTGCTGCTCTCGACGGTAACTTTGGACGCGTGCCGCCGCTATGCACCTTCGACGCGCCACCCATTGTCATCGGCTTTGGCAATTCCATTGTGCTCGGTTTTGTGCCCGCTGTGCCATGATAATACTTCTCCGCCTCACCTTTGCGATAAGGACCTATCATGTCATCGTCTTCCTCGAAGTTTGTCGCGCCATATGCAAACACTGGACTATTTGCATTCGTTTGTAGCGCTGGCGCACCATAACCGCTCATCTCCTTGCCAATAGCGCCATTCGCTGTGGTATCGCTCGTCACTGCATTATCATCTAAGCGATACTCACTCGGCATACTTGTAGCGATTATATGTTCCATTTGCTCCTGCAGCAGTTGATAGAGTGGCGGCGCTGTATCGTTGTATGGCAGCGTTTCGCCATCCGGCACATACTGATTGTTAATGTAGGCGCTTCGCCCGTCTAAATCGTTTGTGCCAACTGGTGTGACCGCGCGTCCTTCGTCGGCTGGCTGCGCGCGCGCAGTGGACTCATCGGCGTGCACCAGTCGCGGCACTTGAGGTGTATTAGGGGGCGCATTTGTGGAGGTTATGGCGGTGGCAGCTCCCTCAGTCGTTGTAGTAATATTCCCTGTCACTGCCGCGCTGTTGGTCGCTTTCACCGCCGCCGCTGAAGACTCCAAGGCTACTGCGCGAGCTGCAAAGAAGAAGTGATATGGTATGGTAGGTAAAAAAGTAGGCAATTTTTAACCACACCCACTGCGAACTTACCCACGCAAATTATGCAAAGTAATAACGGTGTTGTACTGAATATTCTTGTAGCCATTCTGTTAATGTATAACTGCGCCGGCGCCGCTAACACTTTTATACCAAGGCTATACCGATGTTCCCTTGCTCCGAGCAAAAAAAAAATGAAAACTGTGCCATTCTAATAAGAAAAGCAGCGTAGCTATTCTCAAACTTTTCGGTGACCCGTCCAAAACTTGCGCTAATGCAAGTGGAATTAATAAAATAAAATAAAATAAATGAGCCGCGGTGTAGTAAATTCTCAAATACTCCCTTTTAATGAGATTCTCATTAAGCAGAGTGATCTTCAATTCTTCATGTGGCACACACAATCCAAACAATCAACGTGCCGCGTCATTGCGCACAATCATTCATTCATACCTGCGATTACTACCGATCGATGGCATATCTAATCGAGTTTAATCACTTTGTGGTTGTGGGCGAGAAAGTTTACGATGATGGCTCAATTGAAATATAGTACGCACTTCTGTGTAGCCTTAGGTTCTAATTTTGCTTTCATCTGCTCATTACGCTGCTGATGTTGGTAATGAAATTGAGTTATTAGCCGTTGCTGGTGCTTATGAGACTAATAAATAGAAAGCTAAGTAATTAAGATGAATCGATTGTGGTTTACCGGCAAGCTTCGGAGCGTAAATGCATTTTCATTGACAAATACAACGATTGCGCTGGCTTAGACATGTCGCACAGAAAATACGCGCACGATTACTGTGGAAGCACCAAAGTACAGGACCAAACTGGTATGGACAGAGGCTATAATCATGGCTGCTAATATAAAGAGCTACCTTCCTAAGCTCAACAGATGGTTGCCTGCCTTTGCACTGACATTATTATTACGTTTTTTGTGAATAAAAGACTGCGACCTCAAGACCTATTGTGCCCCCTTCACAGATTTATAGTGTGTCTATTAACACAGAAAACGAGAGAAACTTCAGAATGGAGCCTAAATCTACAGATTATACTGCGTCCTCGGTTATTAAATGTTCACCGAGGTATCTTTTGTGTTTTTGTATCAGTACAGGACATTCTTCTAAGATGTGCTGTGCAGTCTCGATATTGGTCCTGCAAAATCTGCATCGCTCCTGCGAGTAAATTCCCAGTTTAGTCAGGTGATAGTTCAGCCTGCAATGTACTGTCAGGAGTTTTGAAACAATTTTTAAGTTATTCTTGGATAAGCTCATAGATTCCTTAAAGAGTTTTAGTTTATATGTTCCTAAAAGTGCTTTCGGGCAGAGAGTGCCCCTTTTCTTAAGGCACAACAGGGCTCTGGGCCGATGAAAGGAGTTAATGCTCCTCGAAAATCTCGTTTACTTTAATACCAATATGTCCACGAATCCAGAGACCCCAAGCTCGATTGGTTACACCAAGAGTATTCAGCTTGTCGAAGCACTCCATCATGGTGAGATGTGAGGGACCTGATAGCCGCTTGGCCGGCAGTCAAGATCGCGATGTTCTGACTACGGTAGTTTCGCTTGGTGGTGGTCCGCGCACTTTTGTATAGCGTATGTTTCAGTCTAGAAAATGAACTTACGCTTTGCCACGTTTTCCGAGTATCTTAACCTCGATCCAACAACGCCTACTCCGGTACGTTTTCCAGTCAATGAGCCATCAGTGCACCAGCTTATCATGTTTTGGTATATCCGATATGTCTCGCATATGCCTGCTCAGTTTGTTTCATTACTCAGATCAGTTTTAAACATCTTTGTAAAGCTGAACCTCGGATACAGGGTATTCATCGGTATTGCAATTTCAGTGCACTTCTTCGCACTACTCATAGGAAGTCAACCTCTTTTTGATACATAATGTTGATACCTTATAGCCTTATTGTTTTCAGACTATTACGTTTATATTTCTTTTCAAATACTCGAGACAAAATTACCTTACAGTTTTTTTAAGTTCTTTAATCTTCTCTGCTTTATATAAATACGGCTAGAGTTTACGCAGTAGCTCGTGCCATAGTCTACGAATATCGACGTGACTATATGCACATGCCCTGAAATCTCAGGAAAATTCATTCTCCTGAATAACTGATTTCAACCATATACCCCGTGGATATCATTGAGGCGTGGTCGACTCTTGGTGTGTGGATTATTGTCCGGTTTATTTGAAAATTAAAGCTGTAGGAATTTAGTATACGAGAAGTGAGAGTTGCGGTTCTAGAAGACCGCTTGACTTCAAGAACGTGCAGTTGGACATGTCCCGGTTTGCGCCCGGCCTTCTCTGAGCGTACGACCCGAATGTAGTCAAAAATATCCCTTATCTATGTTTTTTCGGTGAGACAGACCCGAGCGCGCTGGGCAGGAAATCAGGCCAGGCATACCCCAACTAGCTTTAAGGGGATTTATTTTGAAATAAATCTCCGTCATGCATTGTCAAGTAGATGTTTACCTCACTTACCGTTCTGACGTAAGTGGGCAGCCAGTTTATTGTTTCTTTAATAGCAGATACCTCTGTCTGAAAAACACAACAGTCATCGAGAAGGCTAAATATAAGGTTGAAGGAAAGATCCCGAAAAACTACCCATCCTTTAATCGTTCCGTCAAGCTTGGACTCATCCATGTAAAAGTTCACCGGTGCCTATTTCCAACTTCTGCCTCGCGTCCACTCATACCCAGACGGTATGTAAGTAAAGCTAGAGATCATTGGTGCTAGTAGAAGCCTCTAAAAATATTAATTGGAGTGTCCAAATCAAGAGCTAGTTAAGTACTCAGGGCCTCCAAATCTGACCGCAGCTCCTACTGCCAACTGATTCCAGTGAGAACTGCCCGATGTACCCGCTACAGCTTTCTGACTAGTGTATCCTTCTCTAGACGATTCCTCCAGACGAAGACTCTATAAAGTAAAAGAGCGCAAGTGGAATGTCTTCCATTGGCAGAAGAGTCGCATGGTGTATCTTTAACTTCCTAATGCACAAAATGAGTACTGTCTTACTAGGATTAACAGCGAGCTCACTGTTCGCTGACCACTTAGTCACCTGAGTTACTTGATTCTGTAATATATGTATCATAAAGGATACCTGGAAATCCTTTAACCATCAGCTTCTCTAGCAGGCCGCATCCGACCACAATCCAAATAAGCGGTAAGAGAACACTACTCTGAGAGGTGCCCTTGTTTAGTCTAGTGTCTCGGAGCATGCGGTATACTATGATCTTAGTTAAGTCACTTTGGACTCCAAGTTTAATTGTTAAAAGTCCCCTAAATGCCGAGAAAGTTACCCACGGCGAAGCCTTTTTAAATGAGGGTTTTACTCTATCCACTGACGAGGAATCGTTTTTCTAATATATACATATGTAGGTCAATAAGCATCTCCAGGATTTTAATTAGAATAGAAAACTGATGGGTCCTTGGGATAGATGTGAAAGCTTTTGGAGGCCTTCGGGATGAACTTCACTTTACTCTCCAAACCCTAACCAATACATACATGCAAACATCGTTGTCCTGGTCTTGTTGTTGCCTGAGCTAACTGTATTATATTTGTATATAGTTATGATGCTTCCCCCATCAGCAATCCCGCCGTCTCCACTGAGCTGGCGGTTGTTGGTAGCCTATTTATAATGCAAAAATTATCGACAACGGTCGCTCCACGGCAGGCACACCTTCGGGTGTATTAACTACAGTCATGAAAAGGCCTCTGTAAAAGCTCAAATTCGGTGGATACTTGCCGATTTTTAGAACAAAAATTGAAAGCTAATTGCTAAACGAAATTCAACTCGCAGCTGTGAAGGTGGCCCTTATAAATTATATGTGCATTATGGTGGTCCGAAAATGCACAGGAAAATCCACTTTTTGAAATTGTCTTGCAGTCACCAACCCCCGCCCGCCATTATGATAGTGAATAGAAAATAAAGAACTCCTATTTTTTATTTTTTGTTTTGAAATAAATTAATATTCCCGGACTTTGAAGTTTTCCGAATATTTTTTATGGGGAAAATACTTTTATGGTAGAATCGCTATAAAATCCTTAAGAATAAATATTTTTTTATTGATTAAAAATATTTTCCTTCAGAAAACTTTCAAAAATAAAATTACGATGCAAATTTAACCCTAAAACTTTACGAACTATGTATTTAAAAAAGAAAACTGCGTAACTATTTTTTGTAAATAACGGCTGCGAACATGTAACTAATCAAATTTTAAAGTCAAGTATGCATCATAGATTTATTGTTTGATGATTTGTGAAAGGAAAATTTTACTACAATTTGGATCCAGTATTTGCGGAAATATCGTAGTTTTTGAATTTTTCGAAAATACCGTTCTATGGGGAAAAATGGGAACCATCCTAATGGGAATATGTATGAAAGTATAAATACTTCTAAAAAAGTGAAGTTCCTTGACCTTTCGATTTTAATTGTTTGCTTGGAATAGACTACTGAACATACCTACATATATAAATGTGTATTAAGGTGGTCCTTAAAACATCAATATCATGGGGAATCCTTTGTTTTGCTTTAAGTACAAAATAAAGACATCCACGATTATTTCAAAATTGAAAAAAAAATACATGGTCGCTACCAAGGTATGAAATTATTATTATTATTTTTTTTGTAATCGAAAAATACGAAAAAAATTTGACTCCGACCAGCTATAACTCAGCGAGTTTGTGAATTTATATGAATGAGATTCAATAATAAGTAAACATTTCCAGATTTAGAAAAATTTTTGCAATTTAAAAATAAACAATTAAATTTTTTCTAATCATGGTAGCGACCCTTTTTTTAATTTTGAAATTTTCGTGGATGATTTTATTTTGTCCGTAGAACAAAATAAAAGTGTCCCCAATTCAAAATTTTTATGTTGATATTATAAGGATCACCCTAAGGTATATGTGTATCGGTATCTACGATTAGTTATTTGTTCAATAAACAAAAATTTATTACGCATAGTTATAGGTGTTAACAAAGACAATCAATTAATGAATACAGCAAATAACGCTCCATCAGAGCTACGCAAAGTGCCACCACTACTAAGGCTGGAGTAATGAAAGTGTAGAGCTCATTTTAGAAAAATTAATTAGTACCTTTC